GATTCCTCATTGAAAAATTATGCATTATTGTTTTCAGTTTTCTACTAGATTTTTTTTCTCCTTAAATTTTGTGACATTTTTATAGATAAGAATTTTTTTTCCAGATGGAATCATAATATAACGTGGATGGAAAATCTACCATGGATATAAGATATAATGTCATGAAAAAATTGATGAGTGACAAGGCTTCAATATGTTTTAATATAAATAAAATAATTAGAAAATCTAATTTTGTGAAAAATGTTTAATTTTGTTTTCTGTTGTTATTAGTAAATACATCTTTGAGTATTTGCAAATTTTAGCTTGTTACTTTGACCAAAAACCTAAAAAGGTCTCTATTGGTTGTTATTAAATATGGGTCTAACACAGAGCTTTGTGGTACACCAATAGGAAATATTATTAATGCAGATTTGGTGTCATTGATTGAAGCTACGTAAAACCTATTAAATATCGATTGAAGCTACGTGAAACCTATTATATAGCTAAAATGAAAACCATTAGAGTGGTATTCCTTTGATAATGTGGTATTTCATTTTATTGTGGGGGAGCTAAAAGCAGCCGTGGCGCAGTGGTTAGAGTTCTGGCTCAGAACCCAGAGGTCCAAGGTTCGACGCCAGCTCTAGCCCAACAAGCGACATTGGTACGGAAGGAGGCGTGAACTTCCTGTTAAATGTTCTCCCGCGGTGCTCTATGATAAGACCGTAAGGACTTCTGGGAGCACCTAAATACATACAGAAAAAAAAAAAAAAAAAGAAGCTGTATGGCTCCTATAAACATAGAGCATATTTAGCATAAATTCGGCTGGATTGTAATATATTATGTTGCTACTTATCCCAATGTATCAATGTTTGTTTCTACTGTAAGTGTGTTTTTTTAGATGCCATAACAAGAAAAATCAACTAAAGATAACGTTAAACAACCGCCATAAGAATGTGGCTGCGTATGCATGGCACGCTGTTCAAACGCCTAACAACAAAAAAATAATAAAATAACAAATAACATCGTTTTGATTGAAAAAATATAAAATGCCAAAAATATTTTACTTTTCAATTTAATATTGTTTATCTTTAGGATTTTATTTCTAGATAAATAGAAAAAGAAAAAAAAAGGTAATATTTTGAAGCCATAAATGTAAGTTTCGCACAAGGTTTTAGTCATTATTTAAAAAAAAACATTAAGGTTTTAGTAGACATTAGGGTATTCTTTTAAGACAAATCAAAATAAATTCTGCATAAGGTATTGAGCAAATGTGCAGTTTTGTTAAGAAAGTATAAAAAATGCGCTTTAAAGAAAAAAAACAAATAACACTACAACCAAAATGCCATTTTGGTTGTACCATTCGATTTTTTTTAAAGTAGTGTGTTATTGCCAAATCCAATTAAATATAACTGTCTTGCTGTGTCTGTTAGTGTCTGTTAACAGTGGCAAAAAATATTTCTGAAGACATTCAGCGATATACAAATTGGCAGTCTTTTGGATGACAAATAAAGCTCTTTTAAGGCCGCAACAGCAAATTGATTGTCACACGATGATCTTTAGAGCAAACTTTTCAGTCTGCAAATAATTATATTTGTTGCTAACATAAACACTTTTTGAATGATAATAATATAGATGACCTGTAAACTGTGAGAATTTTTTTTTTTTGCAGAATGCTTTGCATCAATTTTCTCAGTTAAAAAGTTTGACAAGCTTCCTTGCGCACCAAATTGCTTTAAATTCTCTATCAATTGGTTGCTTTGGAGTACTTTTTTCTTGGTGTTATTTATGCCGAATTTATGCTAAATATGCTCTATGTTTATAGGAAATACTTGGATAAACAGTAAATCATAAGTACTTTCTTAATGGGGTAAAAAAATTATTTGTTTTAAAACTTTAAACAAACAAACAAAAACTGTTACATATAAAATGAATATAGTTTGCGAATAAAAGTTTATAAACTTAATTTAAAACTTAACATTAAATATGATGAAACTTTTAAACTTAAAACACTTTATTTTCTTTAGCTCATTTTATCCAGAGCCGTGGCTCCTCCACGCCCTCACGTATAGCACAGATCCTTAAAATGCCTACCTAGCTGTCCCAAGAACGCCACTTATACGGAAAGTTAGCGTAAACGGCAAGGTGCCCTGTGATACAAATTTTGAAATCATTTAATTTTGTCCGCGGAAAATTATTTAATTTGAAAGTTTAAATTAAGTCAAATTTTGACTTCATAGTGCGCCAATAAAAACACTTGCAGAATTTGAACCACTCAATATAATTTGATAAAAATTGGTGCAAATGTAGCCAATAGTCACACCAAACTCTGGACAAAATTTCAGCCTGATTGGATGACTGGTGTAGGATTTATTGCAGTTTTATTTGAAGTTTTGTCAGTTTTTTGCTACTTATACCTCAAAGCGTTACCGATTACTTTGAAATTTGGTCACTATTTTTAAAATAACGGTTACATGAGTGTTCTACTATGTAATACTAACAATTTTTGTTATGATTATTTTATCGGTACATGTACAGTTTTCATTTTATAGACCAAAATAGTGATTTTCTACTTAAAGCGTGATTTAAATAGTCTTATGCTAATAGTGTCGACACGGCCTTCAAAATGGAGGGAGTCAACCTCTCTCGACATATTAGCTAGTGAAATAAAGGCAACAAATGCATTTCTTTATGAGTATCGTAAAAATGGATTTTCCGACGCACGTATTAAGGAATCAGAAATCGCAGAAGTATTGGGCATTGAAAAGGTTTTACCAATAGTAAGTTTATGAAGAAAAAAATGTCAATTTATTCATTCGATTGTGTTGATCACACTCGGCAACCTAAATATCAGTATAAAGCATTTTTTTTTTTGCCATTAATTGGTATGTCAGTTGCATCAGTAAAAGAGCGTTTTGAACATATCAGCATTGTCACAAAGCTTAATGACTATCTTTACCAATCTAAAAGTCTTATCAAAGCCTGTAATGAAAATTCTTTGTCTATATATTGCAAAAGTTTGCAAATAAAGCTTGGTAAAATAGATTTTGAGGATTTAGAAATGGAGTTAAAACGATTTGTAAAAATTAACAAGGAGGAAAAAAATGCCTCAAAAAAGAGCTGCAAGAAACTTATCCCAATTTAGTTGTTGCATTACGAATCATTTTTACTTTATCAGTTACTGTTGCAAGTGCAGAACGTAGCTTTAGCAAGTTAAAACTAATTAAAACTTTTCATAGGTTAGTATAAATAATCTTGCTTCATTATACATAAATACATGTAGCTATATTTCTTCGTATCATTAAATAGTTCAACAATGGTCGATGAACGTTTGTCTTCTTTAGCAACGCTGTCGATGGAAATCGAGGTTGCAAGAAAATGAATGAAGACATAATAAATGAGTTTGCAAGCATGAAAATACGTCGCAAACCTTTTTTTTAATGGTTTGGGACGTACTTGTATTATCTGCGTAATACATTAACAGTATTTAAAAAAACTCTTTACTAGTAAACTCTATATCAATTTAGTAATTATAAAATATATTTAATTGAATTTAAGCGTTAATTTGATTGTTTTTAGTCTTATGAACAGCGACATAAATATGTCTGGTACCCTGCTTTTCGGGGTAATCTGTAAATTTTATCCACTTTTTTAGAAAAAATAAATAAAAAATTGGGGCCCAAATTACTAGTTTTGAGGAGCCCCAAACCAACTTGCCACGACACTGATTTTATCAAAAAAAATATTTATCAAACAAACTGTTTCTTTAAAAATTTTTTTATTAGATCACAATTGCGGTTAAATGCTTTTACAACATATTTTCTGAATAAACGTCACATCAACAATATCAAAATAAAAATTAAATATTCAAAAAGATAAAAGTTTTCTCTTAACGTTAAACTGCTGAACGCGTAGACATATGGCCTTTTCGCACGTAAAATGCAAGCTTGGTAACGCCTTTTAACAAGGCGTAACATTCGAACTGACACTCAATCTGAGTATTGGTTCAAATTGGTAAGGAAGGAGATGATTGTGCGGCCGTGGCGCAGTAGTTACAGCGCTTGCTTTATAAGCAAGAGATCCAGGTTCGAAACCAGCTCTGGACATATTTTCGCGTCACGGTAAGGAAGGAGGTGTGAACTTCCTAGTTAAATGCACTTCCGCGGTGCTCTGTGACAAGACCGTTAGGTCTTCTAGACTACCGGGTATTTTTTAAGCATATTAATAACTATATATATATATATATATATATATATATATATATATATATATATATATATATATATATATATATATATATATATATATATATATATATATATATATATGTATATATATATATATATATATATATATATATATATATATATATATATATATATATATATATATATATATATATATATATATATATATATATATATATATATATATATAAAGAGTCTAGGAGTCCTAAAATTTTTATGGACTCTCTAGACTCTGGACTCCGGGCTAAAATAGGGACTCCGACTGCGGACTTCGCATCCCTGCAATAAACATACTTTTGTTTGTATGTATTAGTATAACTAGTTATAGTGTTATACATTACGTACTCAGCTAAACAAACAAAAAGTATTATGCAGTTTGTTTGCTACAAATAATATTACGCAATATTGCGTAACTTCTATTTTCTTTGGTTTCAACATTTTTTATTTATTGTGTAACTTATTAGGCAGTTTGTTCGCTCCTAAAAGTATTACGCAATAGTTCGTATTTTACTTATTTCCTGTTTCAGACTATGTTTTATTGTCACCGCCCCCCGCTGGTATATATAAATATATAAACAATATATTTATATACATTATGTAGTTGTATACATACATATATATATATATATATATATATATATATATATATATATATATATATATATATATATATATATATATATATATATATATATATATATATATATATATATATATATATATATATATATATATATATATATATATATATATATATATATATATATATATATATATATATATATAGCTACATAATAATATATTGTTTATATAAGTTATGGTTTATATTGTATAAAATAAAAATGGGTAAAGTCTCAGAAAAAATTAGCAGGATATTTTATCCTCCTGGAGTGACTCATCTTAACCCAACTGTTGCAGCAGCACTTTTTCTTATTCTGGTTGGTTACTTTTTATCTTATTACCTTATGACTTTTTATAATTAATAAAGATGATCATCCTGGTTTTTGTTAAGAAATCACAGGGAAAATCCTAGTTTTAATTAAATTTTAATGAAAGATTTATACTCTTCTATATAAAAACTAATCAATAGTCATCTTTAGTAAATCAATAGTCATCTTTAGTAAATCAATAGTCATCTTAAATAAATGTAATGATTTTTTTAATAGTTATTCTCCTATATTTTACTAAAATTACAAAATACAACTTTTTAAAAATAATTTAAGTCTTTGTATGATTGATATGTGATCTATGTATTGTATGCTATATTAAGTCTTTGTATTTTTTATCATTTTTAAAGTTAAAGCAATCACTAGTGTTACAATTATTTTTAGATGTTTATATAAAATAAGTGTGTAGACTTTTTTTTAATGACCTTAAACTGTCAGAGCTATATTTAAAGTTAGTTGATTGATTAAAATAACAACAACAACAACTACAATAATATAAATAATTATAATAATATTTATAACAATAATAACAATAGCAATAATAACAATAATAACAATAATAATCATGATAATAATAATAGCAATAATAATAATCATACAATGTTAGCTATAGTTTTATATAAAAAAAAAACAGATAACAAACATATTAACTTTCGAAAAGATTGTGCCCCTTGCTCTTCATATTTCTAAAAGCAAAGTTCCCAATCTTTTTAGCTGGTCTTCATAGCTATAATTTCTTAACTCATTAATGCATAATTCTATTATGGTTTTACTTAAGATAAATACATTTGCCTAATTACTTTTCTATTATTATTTTTGAATGTTTTCCTTATTAATCACAAAAAACAGTTTCGCTTATTATTTATAGTTGCAATGTCTTTTTTGTATTTCAGTTCTTTGCACCAAACAAGTGCACCTAAATCTTTTTTCTTTTCAGTTCTTTCCATTTTGTGTTTGTTTAGTTTGTAAGATTATTTCTTCCAAAGTGCATCACCCATTCCTATATATTATTAATAGCTTGTTTTAAAATTGATCTTTTAGATTAGAAATAGCAGCTATAAGATTTGTGTTGTCTACAAACAGTTTGCTTTGACATCTAATACTGTCCAATAAAGTTAATTCCTAATAACTTAAACTTCCTAGGGACCTTCCTTTAAACCAGCTTCAAACTCATATATTTTATTTCCCAAAGAGCATGCTATTGTGCATTTTACTTGCATCTGAGTTTTTAAACCTTCTAATATAGGATACTTTTACATTGACTTTAATATCATGAAAAATTTCATCCCCAACATTTATCTCATTTCCTTTTATACTTTTTGTTCTAAAAATAAGAATATTTCTTCTCCTTTTTCTTTATTTTTTTTAGTTCAACTTTCTTCATTTTAATTTTAATTGTGTTAGGTATGTTATGATATGCTTTAAGTTGCAATTATTTTTTGGAAGAAGTTCCACTCTTTGTCTTAAGTTTTGATTCTAAGATTCTAGTTTGCATTTCTAAAAATTTCTTAATTTTTAAGAACTTCTAACTCATTTTCGTTAACCATTCTTTTATTTTATTGTTATATTTTAATTTTTTATACAATACTTATTGTTGCTATGGCTCTCTAGTTGCTTTAGTTAACAATTTTCCTCATTTATTTTTATGAACTTTAAATAGTTTATGTTTTTTTAATACTTATTTTGATCACAATACTTAGCAATTACACACTTTAATGCTCCTCTGTTTTAAAACTCTTGACTAGAGATGGTGTCTTGATGATAATGTTTTCATATTCAGCAAATGTATACTCCATTCAGTTACTTTTTTTTCAAGAGTAGCCTGGTATAGTTGTAAACCTGTGTTATTTTGTTTCCTGCCTCAGATAATGAATACTTTTTGACTTTACTTATAGATTTTTGTTTGTGCTTCCTTGGTAGCTGCTATGCGGCTTTTTTTGCTATCTTCTAATAAATGTTCAGTTTTAAAACTCAAATTAATGGTTTCAATGTTAGTTGATAGTAAGATTACCTGCAGTTTTCAGAGAGGCTAATTCAATGCATACCTGTAAGTTATTATTGTATTAGTAACATTATGTTACTCATAAATGGTACCATGTGCAAAAATACTACTATTATTACACTATAATAGTATTAGTTATAATCAAATCATAACTATAATAACAAAAAAAATTTAATCACAAAAAACCATCAGTGCCATCTTTTTGTTTATCTTTTACAAATACTTGTGGTCTTAAAATTACTTTTTTACCTGTAGAATCTTTACCTTTGCAAAATTAAACAAACCAATATTTTTTGAAGCTCATTTAGGTTTAGCTGTGTCCTTGTACAATTTAAAATGCTCAATAGAGAGCTGTTAATGTGCATTAAATGGAAATAGTGAGGCAATGGCAATTTTTTTTGCGTGGTGGTCTTCTTCATAAGCTTGCTTCATATAGTGTAATTTAAAAAAAAATTAAATATATACTAAATATTGTTAGATTTATTATATAAATTTAATATATGTACAATCAGCCCCAGAGCTTCAAGCTTATGTTTGGAAAACCCATTAAAAAAAACTGCATTTCCAGGTTCATTGCAATTTTGCTAAGATCATTCGCTTTGCAAAAATTCTGTTTCATCACCAAGATAAGTCGTCTGCTCATTATGGATTGTTGTTTTGGTTAAAGGCAAAGCAATTGCTCTAGAGCAGCAGTAATATCCTGTGGTTGTTTTGCAATTAGTTTTATAGCATCAATCTGAGTTGAATGTCTGGTCCCCGAAAGCTTTTAAAGCAAGATCTTCTGGGACTGCAGCTGAAAGCTAAAATATTTTAGATTTTTACTAATTTATTACAATAATCAATGAAACTAATACACTAAAGTAATGAAGGATGACAATTGATATTGAAGGAATACAACACCAGCTTTCAGGCTGATAATTGATATTGAAGGAATACAACACCAGCTTTCAGGCTGATAATTGATATTGAAGGAATACAACACCAGCTTTCAGGCTGATAATTGATATTGAAGGAATACAACACCAGCTTTCAGGCTGATAATTGATATTGAAGGAATACAACACCAGCTTTCAGGCTGATAATTGATATTGATGCAACTTAAGTAGCATCATAAAAATACTTTTAAGAGTTTACTGTAATTTTATATTGCACATAAATTATTATAAAATATTGCACATTGTATCAATTTTATCATGCACTAATTTATTCCAATGGTTTGCAACGGTTTTTAAAAAAGTGCTGACATTCTGGGTAATGTTTGATTAGTTGTTTGCAGGGAATATCTTTTTACGGATATTTCCGGAATTCCGGATATTTTTCTCAAAATATAGTTTTTCCGGATATCCAAAATGTTTTCTCGTACATTCAAGTTTATATAATATTTTAATGTATATACATTTTTCGTTTTCAGTGATCAGCCATAAAAAAAAAATGTCAAAAATGTCTATAAAAATTCTGAAACCTACCAGCTGAGAGCAAAATTAGGAGAATAGTAAGGGAAAATATGTTCCGGATTTTTCCAGATATTTTACATAAACTGTATTTTCAGGATTTTTAAAAAATGACCTGGATGATCACTGGTTGTTTGGGTTCTCTTTAATATCTCGATTTATTATCTTTCTGGCTTCTCCCTTATATCTTGATTTATTGTCTTTCTGGCTTCTCCCTCATATTTTGATTTATTGTCTTTCTGGCACCCCTAATATCTTGGCCTTCAAACCATTTGTTCTTAATTAGTTAAAGCATTTTTAAAGTTGTGCACTAATATACACTAGATAAATTTAAGAAAATCAAAAAAAGTTTTTTGAGTTATTATAGTTTATATTATAAATTAATATATACTTGTTCTTACAAATTAAAATAAGTATATAAATTTTTATATTATTATTCTTATAAATTTATATGCTTTTATATTCTCAAGTAAAAAAATAAGTTTTAAATTAAAATTTGGCACCTTTAAAGCCTTGGCTCCTGGGTGAAAATCATCTTTTGTACCTGCCTTCTGCTGGACCTATATACAATATATTGTATAAATATAAAACATGTACAATATATTTTATAAATGCATTGTAATGTACTGCAACTAACTCAACTAATTTCAATAAGTTGCAGTACTTTAAATTAGTTGCAGTAAAATACTTTGAATTAGTTGCAGTACAACATATTGAGTTTGTAATGTACTGTTACTAACTCACTTTCAATTCATTCCTTAGAGTTTAAGTATATGACATCAATGTAGACATAAAAAAATTAAAAAAAGAAAAAGTTTCTTTTTCTGTTTTTTTTTTTTTTTTTGTATCTTTTTTTTTTCTACTTCTTTTTACTTTTTTTTTAATTACATAAAAATGTTTTTTTTTCACAAAATTGATTTCTATATTTTTTTCTAAATTTTTCAAAAAATTCCTAAAAAGGCTTAAAGTATATAATTTTTTTCTGTTCTAATTAATAATAGATAAAGTGAAAAACAAACTATGAGATAGAATGGTACAAAATGTTATTCAAAATGCATTGTTTCCTTGCATAATAACCCTGACAAAAATATCAGGTTTACCAAGGGTGATCAGAAAAAATCAATGCTAACCAAAAACAATCTTTTAAACATGAAACATATTTAAAAGAGACTCCTGGACAAGAATACTTTAATTTATAAAGTTATTAAGTCTGAATTTTGAAATTTATAAAATCAAATAAAGTCTATAATAAATAAGTTATTGTAAGCACACCTAATTATTGTTTTTTTTATAGGAAAAAAAAAGAGGAAAATTATATTAAAGTGTAAAGTAGAAAAACTGAATGTTAAATCGAAAGATAATTTTTGAATGGCAAAATTTAATGTTAAATGGAAAATTTGATAATATAGCTTCTCACGTAAACTGATGATTGAATTTTTAAATAGAAGTAGATACTAAAATAATTGCTTGTTATAGCACAATTAGTGGGAAAAGTAGCTCTTTATTTAATTTAAGTTTTTCGATTTGTTGATCGTATAACAATTGCATTAAATAATCACAATACACTTGATTTAAGCCATGACTATATTAAAATGTTTTATACATTAGTGATGTGCAGAGTATCGCGTTCGGGCCTGGGGACCTGATAATTTGACTATTTTCCTGGGTACTCGGTATTAGTCATTTTGTTGCAGTACCTGGCACTGGGTATCTTGAAAGAATTTTTTTTAATGAGCATTAACCTTATGTGCTTTAACTATTTGTTGTAGTTCTTTAAATTGTGTTAAAATAATATTAACAGGATTGCTTTAAGTTTAAACTTCAACCAATAAACTTCTATACCTTAATGTAAATCCAAGCGTGTTATGGAGTTGATAACCACAACCCCCTATTTCTTATTTATTTATTTAATTATTTACTTAAATATTTTTTAAAATATATTTTTGCAAAGTAAATAGAATTTATTGCATAAAGGAAACTGATACCGATATTTGAATAGCTTCTTTTTATTGTGTGAGAGAATTTTTTTAACAAGAGAATTTTTTGAAGTTGATAGAGTCAGTTTTTAAGTTCTTGATGTTTTTGTCATTAATGGCTTTAGATGGAAAGTTATTCCAAATATTAACAATCCTGAGGGAGAAAAATATTTTATGGACATTGAGCTTACACTATAGTTTGGGTAATTTGAATTTGTTACCTTGAGTGTAAATATAGTTGTTCATTAAAAAGAAACTTGCTATATTTAATTTAATTAGCGCAAATTAGTCAGCATTATTTTGTGAAAAGAATTCAGAGCTAGAGATTTCACAAGCTCATATTTCAACATTTTAAAATATCAGGTGCCATGTACCCAAACTCGGAACCAGTATTTTCTTCCGGATAACCTGAATCTAGGCATAAACTAGTTCCGGAACATCTCCACTATACATATCTAATTTCATGGTCATACTGGAGGACTACATTTTCTAGTCACACAATCATGCAAGCAAGAATTGTTTCAATGTACTCTCAAACAATATATTTGTGTGGAGATGCACAATAAAATTTAGTATTCTTAAATATATTTACTTGTTGAACTTAGCATTAGCAACATTTATGTTAATATAGCATTCGCTATAGATTATTATCTCATAGGTATATAAAAGTTATATTTTTAATGATGATATGATTGATAATAATATCATCATAATAGATAATATGTAAAAGTAAAGACAATTACAAAATGGTGTTTTAATTTTTTTTATAAATATATAAGCTAAAGCATTAATAACTTTATTCTCTAATATACATTTTATTTTTTTTAATTTATATCTGCCTTTATAAGTAAAATATTTAGTTTGCAATGTTTAAAGAAATGTATTTAAATTTTTTTAGTTTTCAACTCTACTCACTTTAACTACGCCATTTTCTTACTTACCTTCTATGGTTGCTGTAAGTATTTTTACATTCTAAATAAAAGGTTTTACTAGAATTTAAAACAATTTCTAAGTTAAATTTTGATGATTAAATTTTTTAACTAACATTAAACTTGACATCAATATTGTTGAAAAATGTCAGTTTATGAGAAATGACATACTGAAAACAAATGACGATTGATTTTAAATGATAGCTGACAACAATTAGCAAGGGATAATAATGAAATAAAATAATGCTTCAAATATTTTTGAAGTTATTTTACTTTTTGAACTTGGTAAAATTTTTAAAAGTCAAAACGCTGGCTTTTTTGAATTTTTAAGTTCTCTAAACTTTTAAAATTGTTTTCAGTTCCATATTAAAGGAAGTTATAAGAGTCAAGCTGTTAAAAATGATGCGCAAATTAAGTTTTATAAATATTACTTTGTAAAAGCTAGCGTTTTGGCAAACGCTAACTTTAAAAATTATTAGTGATTTTTTTCTTTTTTTCAAATTGAAATATGCTGAGATCTGCTAAAATCCTCTGGATTTATTTTGCATACATAAATGGTTAATTAATGAATTCAGTACATTTTATGTCCAAGTGGACATAAAACAATACAGCTATTATAAGGTTGCATTTATAAACCATCTAACTATTGTTACTTAATTTGAGTGGTTTGAAAAAGATCATGACCCAAGAAAGCTACCTATACAGTTATAAAAAATGCATACATTCTGGTATACAAAAATTATAGAATTAAAATCTAACTGTTTTGTCCCATTAAAAAATTCTGGTTAACAAAAGTGATTAAAATCAAATTATTTTGTCATTAAAAAAAAATCAGTTTTTTGTATTATTCTTTCATAAATTTTTTGGTAAAACAATTTGCCATAAACCATTAAATAATATTTTAGTTTTTTTTTTATAAAGAGCTGTTTTTTTTATTAGGAATGATATTTGGAAGTATAATCAAAAGTTTTGGATCATAGTAAGATAATGGACAATTACCAAAATGGTTGCTGCATTTTGTTTCCTTTAAAACTAGTGTTCTTTTTGAGGTTAAGTAAATTAAGTAACATAATGTGGGTACTTCACGGATAAAAGGTTTATTAAAAAGAACCTTGTATTATTAAAAAGAACCTTGAAATAAATCCTTTCTCTGATTTTCAGCCTATACAAATTTTTTAATTGCTGGTCATTTTCTTGATATTCTATTCTAATTTTAAATACTAGTCTTGGTGCACAATTTTAAATTTACTGGATTTTTTTAATTGTGTCTTTTCAATTCCATATTAAAGGGAGTTATAAGAGTCAAGCTGTGAAAAAAATAGTAAACAATAGTGCACAAATTTTTATATAATAAGAATTGTTTTATTTTGAATATTTTACTCATTTATTGTAACAGTTTTTAACTATTATTTTTCTATTTGTGCTTTTTAGGATAATTTTTTTATAAGACATATTCTTTTTGTCACTTACATTTTTTGTTCTCCTAAACAATTTTTCTGCTTTTTTTTGTTTTTGCCTTGGTTGTATATATTCTTCATCGCACCGAGGAGCTGTTTTGACTGTTTTTATTATTTTAGTTTTCAAAGGAGCATGTTTCTGTACAACATTCTTTCATTATTAAATTGTACATTAATATTTTACCTTTAAGATTTTCAGCCAATGATATTTGTGATTTATATATATATATATATATATATATATATATATATATATATATATATATATATATATATATATATATATATATATATATATATATATATATATATATATATTCTAGAGCACCCTATTATATATATAATAGGGTGCTCTAGAAATGTATAGTGAAAATTTTTTTTTCTTAAAATCTAGCTCCCTGTTGATTTTCCCATTCTTTTATCTATTTTAGAATAAGTAAACAAGTTTTAAGCAATTTAATAGTGTTTAAGCCTTGCCACCAGCTCCCAAAAAAGTAATAGTTTGAAATTTTTTTAATGTAAATTTACGATATGTTATGTTTACATACGTTACGTAAATTGGACACAGATTTATGGCAATTATTACATAAATGATACAAAATAATTATAATATGAATATAATATAAATTAATAAATAAATAATTTATAAATAAAGCATATAAATAATAATTTTTAATTGATAATTAATTAAAATAATATTTTAATATGTGTATTATCCTTTAATTATCTATTTTTATAATATCTTTCTTAAAATCTCTTTTATTCTATCATTTATTTTTATTTTAAGGTAAATTATCAAAGATTAACAAAGATATTAGATGAAACTAAATTTTAAGTATTGCATTTTTTTACTTGGACGCTACTCATCAGATTAACCCAATTATGGATAGACCGGTTTTAAGAAATGATATTGATATCTGGTAATTAGGAAAACCATTAACTCAATCGTTACCATCAAGAATTCCATCAAAAGAAGATGTCCTATGTCCTGCGTTTCTTTTTCTTTATAAAAGATGGACCCATGAAACATACTAAACATGTCAACTGTAATGGTGCTATAGTAAACACGGTTATTGCAGAAACTCAAAATCAATGGGATAAAGGTGGAATTGCAGTTCAACACAAAGACAAGGTTAAAGCAAAATTTTTGGATTTGTATGATGCTATAGAACACTTCAAAAGAAGAAAGGATGTCAATCTAATGAAGCTAAAGAAAAACTGTTTGTTGATGATCTAAAAAATTATTTTTATATTTCTCACCAAGATGCTCAAAACAAAATAGAAACTGATCGACTTCTTGATAGTGAGCAGAAAAAAGAAGGTATTGAATTTCTTATGGCAGTTAGAGATCAGAAGCGAGTTATTTTGGGATCAGAAAACCGAGCATACAAAAGGAAAATTACACAGAAAATACAGAGAGAGAGAGAGAATTGAATTGAAAAGAATGACAAGAAGAATGGTTGAAGAAAGACAAAATCTTTCAGCAACAACAAGCACAAAACCTGAAACAATACATCCTGAAGTTGCAATCTGCAGATGACTCTAGTGTCACAGTTACAAGCAGTTCAGACAATTCTGAAGATAAAGATTTTGAAAATCTACATAAATCTGCTACGAAACCAAAAAATATCCAACCTGATAAAAACAGAGTAATTACACTGGCTCTTCCACGCAATCTATTCAAAAGTGAAAAAATTTCAGCAATGGCAGATTTCTTAAATTTATCAGCTGGTAAAAGAACAGCTTTCATGGCAGCTATAATTTCAGAGGGTGGTGCTGATTTGCAGTGTGTGACGGCTGATAAACTTCGAATAAAATATGGGGATGAAATTAAAACTACATTTGTTTCCCCAAAGTATGTTACATTACATTGGGATGGAAAAATTGTTCCAGAGGATACTGAATGGCTAGGTGTTCTTATAGCTGGGATTCCAAATTGTAAAGAAGGTAAACTACTTGGGGTTCTAGTAATCTCTGATGGAACTGGTGCAATTATGGCTAACCCCAGCCATTCTCTTGTGGTTCGGTGGAAGGTCACAATCAGTTGAAAGAACAGTCAATTGTTGGACTTTTGATACCAATCAAATTTTGGGTGGAAAAATGGTGCATGCCTACAATTAGAATCATTGCTAGACAAGAAGCTTTTCTATTTTGTTTGTCGACATCATGTAATGGAAAGATTTTTATGTTCTGCCTGGCAAAAGATTTTTGGTCTGACATCTAGTCCTGACACTCCTGAGTTCAAAGAATTTAAGAAATCAGAATTTAAGAATTTAAGGTGCCAGAATTAGAAAAGAAACAAATAGCCAGACAACTTATCAAAGTAAAGAAAGACATGCCAATGGATAAAGGAGTACCAGTTTTTCCTCAGTTGGTTTCATCCACAAGATTAGTACACTTGATTGGCAACAAATCCTGTTCAACCTACTCAAAATTGAAACTGCCTGGTTACACTTGCGGCCAGCACAGTGGGAAACAAGTTGTGATTTTCAAGAAGCAGCAATGTTTATTCGTCATACAAAAATTGTTAATGATCTTGCTGAAAGAGCCATGAAACTCATGACAGACTTTGCAAACACTTTAACTAAAAATGAAATACAGAAACAATATTTGTTACAGGGTATTGAAAAACACAGACACAAAGTACCAGATTTAAAAAAAGGAACCCTGGGAAACATTTAAAAACTGTTTTTTTTCTTAGAGAAATCAGTACTAATTTAGCATATTTAAATCTTATAAAATAACCTTACTGAACTTTTTTCATTATGTTTATTGTTTAAATGAACATACCAACAGTTTTTCTAAATTAAAAAATTTTTTTTTGTTATATTTTCAATGTTACTTTTAAAATTATTATTATTTTTTGAGTTGTTTTAAACTGAGCTAAGCAATATTGCTCAGACATGTTCCAGATACAGAAACATTCTCCTGTGGAAACAGTAATTATGTATGTAACCGTATCTATATATTTTAGTCATTTTACAAGAAACCAGCGTAAAAATTTCAGCCCTGAAACATATCTAGCCAACCCAGCTATACTTCAAATTACCTATTATGGATTTTGCATCTATACATAGAATTTATATTATCTTCTGGTTCTAAAAGGTAGCTCAGACATTTTCCAGAAACAAACCTATTTTCAATGTTACAGTTTTTTTGTAGTATTTTCAATGTTAAATAATATGAAAAACGTTTTCTTTGTAGTGGCAAGGCTTACTGTTGTTTCTAAATCTTAAAGTATGATTTTTCTTATATTTTATGATAAAAAAAAGGGAATATATAAATATATATATATATATATATATATATATATATATATATATATATATATATATATATATATATATATATATATATATATATATATATATATATATATATATATTTATATTGAATGATAAAACAGTTTAAAAAAAAAAAAGATAAGTTGTTATATTTTGTATATATATACAGATTATGCCTATATAAAATGTATTACATTTGATGTCAGGTCAGGTTTATCCTGCTACTGGTAACATGTAACCCAGTACAATTTGCTTCATGTCCTGCTGCCTTGTAGGATATGCAAA